TAAAAGAAGGACCCTAGAAATATTTGTTTCTAAAGATGAACTTACCAGAACTGGCCGCTAGAGCGTTCACTATTAGAATAGGGTTTGTCTCAATCTGCGTTTTCCTGCATCTGCCAGGAAAGGGCTTGGAACCGATCCCACGGGGGTCCTACTGAAATGTTATAAAGCTTGATGGACAAGGCTGGCGGGAGCTTTTCCTGAAAGCTGGCCACATGGTTGAATACAACCCAGCAAGCTTTTAACACCCAGGGCTGATAAAACAGAGATTGTGGTGGAAGTAGAGATGGAAAAGTCTGGGGGGGGGGATTGTAAAATTGGGGGCGGGGTTCCCCATTTTTTTCCAAAGCCCCCCCCGAGAAACTGAAAAAACAAATATGGAGTGTGTTATATGTTCTTTTTACAATGATAAATAATATGCCTATGACATGGTATTCAAGCTATATCACAGGACGACCTTAATGAAAGACTTCTCAGTCTTTACGTATTTTAGAAAGTCTCTCTAAAGCAGGGCAGTCCAAGTTCTGTTGCTGGGCTACTCCTTTTCAGCCTTCTGCACCACTGACTCTGCTGGCTAGGGCTGCCAGAGGCTGCCGGGGGCGACATCTGGAGGGCCACCTTTTGCTAGAAATCCTGCTAGAAACAGATGGGTTGCAACAAGGCACTTCCTGAAGGCATACCCTGCTGCAACCTGAATCATCATTGTCATCTTCTTAGAACTACAGAGCTGGAAGGGACTCCTACGGATAAAGCTCCACAGGTCTGGATCTGCTCCAAGTCCCACCTCTTCAAGGGACGCTTTTTCTTCCATGATTGACAAAATGTAAGCTATAAATATCACAAGCCAACAGGGATAATTTTGAGTTAAACCCCTTCTCCAGGGTCTTGGCTCGTCTGCAGCAACCGACTCCTTTCCTGTATTTACATGCAAAGGGGCAGATTTGTGGGTGTGTGTCGGTTTCCAAAACAAGCCTTTGGGAAAACAAATAGCTGAATTTTAATCCAGGTGCCTTTCCAGGCCGTTTTTTTCCAACCCAAATGGCTAGCTCAACTCTTCCACCTGGTGGACTGGGAAAAAAACACACAACCACGCATGAAGAGAAAGGCTGGTTTCCCTCCCAGCTTCTCAATCTATCAAAGCCTTTTCTGAACCTATGGGTTAGGAGCTCCCAGTCTTGGGGTCCAAGAAGTCACGAGACTATAGAATACCGCACAGCCGACGCTCAGGGCTTCTGGCAGCTGCAGTTTGAGAACATTTGAGAATGCAAATTGGGGGAACTTCTGGTTTAGATGCAAGAATGGCATGCACAGTCTTCCTTAATGTTGCAGAATTTGCAAAGTCCATGCAGTAGTTGTACCTCCATTATGCTCTCCTCTTGAGGACAACCTTGTTTTAAAACAGGAGTCTTAAAAAAATGGCTCACTATGGTCAAAGCCTGAGCGAATGTGACTGAATGTACCCAGAAAATGCATCTGTGTTCTCCTGGATGAAATAAACATTCTTGGAAAGCAGAGGAATTTTACATTTATAATCTGGAACAGGTGCTTCAGAAAGTTCTTCTGCAAAGCCAGACACAGCTTTTGTAAAATACCTAATTTGGTAAATAAGTCAGCTGTTGACAAAATACCATCCGCTAGAGACCATTTTGGCATAGCTCGGGAGCTGCATAGCCCAGAATACCTGTTGGGAAAGTTCACAAGAATTGTGCAGATAAAAAAAAAAATCTGCAAACAGATTGCTTTTTTTAACTGGCTGCATTTCCAGAGCATTATATGTACACGTGCCAGAACTGTGTTTTAAAGAAAACGCAAACTTTTATTTGCAACAATGAAGAAACCATTCAGTTCCTGACCGAAAACACGCTTCTCCTGAAACACTCACGTGCATGAATTTTCTCAAGTAACCGTTCAATTTTTCAACATGTGAAAAAGAGTAAACAGTTTATTAACAAACATTGCTTACTTATTCCCTTTTTCATATTTCCCGGTGATCCGTATTCTTTACATGAAAGAAAACAATGGCTTTATTTTTTTTGCATAGATAGCTGGTAAAGTTTCGAGCAAATCTGTGATCATGCCTGCCTGTCTAAGTTGTGCAAGAGAAATACGCTTTGAAATCATAGGTAAAAGCACTCTTTTTACAATAGGTCTGTATGGTTCTGTTTTTTATTATATGTACATTTTAAAAAAACCCAGATCTACAGAGCATTTTGTGGGTTGGAAAATATATAGACTACACCGACATTTCCAAAATGTAATTCTTCAAAACAGGCCGGGTCTTTGATGCAACTGTTCACCAAAAATTATCAGCTGCTAAGATGTTTTGCTCCGGCATGAATGAAAAGACCAGCAACTTTTTTCATCATCAGCTGCAACCATTTTATTTTGTGCAAAAAAGGATTTTGCACCAAAAACCTTTTAGCTTGTGTTAAAAAAACACACCTCAAAATGTATATTAAAATGCTTTGTTTCCTGCAAAATACAGTGACTGTTGCGGAAACTGTTTTTATAAGGGGGAAAAACAACACTTTTGTGTTGTTGTTTTTGTAAAGAATTCCCACTATGTATAAAACACCCCAAACCCCTTGTATTGTCACTCAGTGGGGAGATTATTCAAAAAAATTTTGTGTTCACTAGCAAGAATGAAAAAAAAATGGAAAAATATGCATCCTTTACAGGCCTGTATACTCACATGAGAGTGTAAGAAGAATTATGTTCATTGTCATGGCTTCATGAAAAATATTTTTCTTGTTCTTTAAAACTACAGTAGGACCGCCACATCTGTGGGATCAATATCCGCTCACTTGTCCACAATCTGAAAATATTACAAATATTAAAAGAAAAATGCACAGAAAAAAATTCTAATGATGAAGTTACCAGAACCGACCAGTAGAAGGAGCCAGAGACCACGCTAGGCATAAGAATCCACTATTGTGATAGCATTCACTATAATCTGCTGGCATGGGGCTCCCGCGGATACAGGGGTCGTATTGTATACGTAGGAGCACACAATAAAGATCTTTACAGTAAGAAATGACATGAAGTCTAGATTTTTAGGGTTTACAATACACGGTGAGGACTATCCCATCCAGGAAACCTGGAGCACTGTGCCAGAACAGATATTACTTTGGGAATATAGTTCCCAAAATATCACATAACCCACATGGCCACTGGCGCAGCTGGAGGGGAAAAAAATCCAGTTGTTGTTCAAAGGCAATGGTGTAAGGTCCTCTGTGCCTTCCCCCAAGATGGAAGAGCTTCTTTCTCTCTCTTCCTGACGTTTCACTCTGCACCACAGGTGGGAAACCATCTAAAGCAGGTATGTTAGTATCACAGAGTACTGCAACAGAAGGGGATGGATAGGACAATTCTGTTGGCATGGGATCCAGAAGGTGCCCATCATACACTTGCCTCCTGCCCACCCCCCCAAGTAACCCAGTTCGGCTTCTTTTAAGCAGGTGTGCTGTGTCAAAGCAAAATGTGCTCCTTATGTATGTACTGCCCCATAGCACTTCAAGCTCTTTGGAGGTGGTGGTGTTGCAATTTAATTATGCAGGCTACACACTGCACCACAGCAAGCTGGGTACTCAGTTTACCAATCTTGGAAGGATGGAAGGCTGAGTGAACCTTGAGCCGGCTACCTGAGCCCAGGATGGAATTCAGGTCATGGACAGAGTCTTGGCTGCAGTCCTGCAATTTAAGAAATTCTGTCGTTCTCAGGAGAGTTCTCTTACCATGAGGCTGTACAATATCAGCAGGAAATGTTTTGGGGGTGCTCCAAAGACTAGCACGTTTCTACCGGGCATAAGCTTTTTTGGGGTCTTGCCAACTTTCATGAGATACATGCCGCCACCTACAAAAACTGATGTCCAAATGGACCTAGTTTTAGTCTTCAAGGTGCCATGAAATACTTCTGGGAGGGTTTGGTTGGTTTGGTTTTGCAGCTGTAAACTCAGCATGGCTATCTCACTGGAAACGTATGTAATATCACCAGGGTGTGTGCAAACAGATGTTTGCTGCGATGCCTGGTCTGCAACACTGAACTGTTCAGTACCGCATATGAAGGATGGCCAAGGAATCTTTGCCATCCAACACAGTTTTAAAAAGAATAACAACAACAAACGCAGCATCAGGCTGTTTTTCAAGGGCTCTTAGGCATGTATCAGCTTCTGCAACAGACAATAATACTGGTCAATAGATCTAAGCTATTGCCATGCCAACAACACAATTCTTTTTGCCAATCGACCACAAACATAAGATAAATAGCTGGCAAAGGGGATTTTGGCTCAAAAGGGCTTCCCGCTGCACCCTAAGTGCAGTAATCTTTAAGGTTATTAAAGATGACATTGTCATAACAGGCCACTATTTTTCAAGAAATTGGTCTATAGTTCATATGAACTGGGAGTGAGGGTTGGAGAATCGAAAACGTACGTTCCATCATCCACTAGATGTGGATTCCATAATGTTACAAGACACTTTTAATAATCAACATTCATTCACAGACATTTAAGGCAACTGGTTAAGAGATAAAATCACTGATTTTATAAAAAGTGAACATCAAATGAAAATGGTGTGCATTATGTACAAACAGATAGCATAAAACTGTCAGAAGGTCACATCACACTAACTAGGAAGGGCAAGATGATAGCAACTGGAGGTTGGGAAGATCAAGAGAGTTAATACGAGTAAGAAGAACCACCTGTGGTTTTCTCCTACTTCATTCCAACCATTTGTATCATACTTGCTCTTACTACAACCTGAATACTTTCCCTGCAGACTGTATTCAAGGCTCAGAAGGCCAGCAATACAGTGGAAAAATACTGCTCAGAGAACACGCTTTGGCAGTACAACTCTTTCATTATTCTGAATTCAAAATTAAAAGCACACTTTGATTGACAGTAAGATTAATGGACTAACCAGAATCCATACTTCGTTGTTGTTTTTTAATTAAAGACAAAACAAAACAAAACAAAAAGCCCACCCTAGTACTTGGGTGTTGTTGGTTTTTTTTTAAACTGGGCAAACAAGGTGTTGGTGGCATTTAGATGGGTGATGATCTGAGGACAAACAGGCTTGTACTGCTTACACAACACCGCCAAAGCTGTGGAGAACACTGGATCTGATAGCACTGTGGCTGTTCACTCCGGGGCCTTCCAGGTGCATTGCACTACAACTCCTATAATCCAGTACAGATCTGGTAGGCACCAGGCCGGGCAAGATCCAAGAGACAAATCTGTCTTCTCGTGTGCCTGTGGTAACCTATTCCAGCCTGATCAAGCCAGATGACACTGAGATGGGGAAGGTTGGCCTATTCTACGCCCATGGAGGCTGGCTTGCTTTTAGAATGGATTAATTTGTTCAAGCTGCTTGTTTTGTTTTGTTTTGTTTGCTTTTAAACTGAGAACTAGAAATCCTAGTTCCACTTCTTGAGGCTCCCAGTTAGCCATAATTCTGGGGTAAAGGCAAGTACGGATAATAAACCAGTTCAGTTTTAGTCAGTTTTTTTGGATTAAGCACCAAACATATTTGGACAATTCCTGTCCAGTATGGCTAAATATGAACAACTATGGATTTTCAGTTGGTTCAGAAGGAACAGAAGTGGGAGGAGAGCAGAAAAATAATTGAAAAGGCCTTGTGGATTCTTTTTCAGCTTCAAATTGTCAAAAAAACAAACACAAAAAAACCAGGAAAAAAGTTGTTCTTTATCCTGAAAATAACTGGCAAATGGGGTGGGGTTGAACATAAAAAAAAAAAAGAATGAAAGCCCAAGAAAGACTGAACAATTTGAAAACCTTCGTAAAAAACTCTTCCGCTTTAACACGTGGGCAACCCCAGCCCATATCTGAACCTCAGTTCCAGTCATCTCAGTGCTTCAGTGAAGTGGTAAAAATCTGGCCTTCTCTGAGAGACCCTTTAAAAAAAAAGGATGAGCCATGGGGAAACTTAGACTCATAATCATCATGCCTGATTTTTTAAAAAGCAGGGCGTAAGTGCACAGAACCAAAGACAAAACTAAACAAAAACAAATGAAGCACTGAGGAAAGAGTACACAAACCCAATTTTTTTGGGGGGGGAATGCATGCCACTTTTGATTAAACGAGCCAATATAAATTATATGTGCTTCACACACAGAGCCAGCGTTTTATTTTGTTGCCTGTCAGTTTTGCAGCTTTTCAAGGAAGGTTCCAGGGGCACAGGCACAGTGGCAAAGAACAGTATAACAGCCGGAGGGGTGGGGTGGGGGGTTCAGCTCCGTTGGGTGAACGCTCAGGAGTGGCAGTGAACAAAAACAAAATGGAAAGGGGGCCAAACGAGACCAGGACAGTCTCATGGGCCTGCTCATTGATAGGACGGAGAGGTGGGTTTGTATGTTAGCTCCCACTGAGGCTGGGAGCCCTCGTATTTCCCAAAACAGCTCAATACACATCTTTCTGTCTGAAAGAATTCAAGCTTAATAAATTAAACCTATTGTCTTCAATGCTTGGTGTCGGTATCCCATCCTCGCTAGCAACAGAAAACACTTGGTACTTGTGCGTGAGCAAAGGTTGTAGACGACCCCTCTGGAAAGTGCTGGGGAACTGCTTGCCACTGTGTCCATACCTCATTCTTTCTTGCCGTATTGAGTCAAAAATGCAGATATACTCCAAGCTATGTGCAAAACATGCCCCACATTATTAAGAAGGTGAAATCACCAACTTATGTATTTACCCAGTGAACTCCTGTCTCTGCATCGAGACTCCGAAATGATTCAAGTGTGACACATAGATAGCCGATGCAATGCTAATGACATTGTCTTAAGAGACAAACCCACCCACCCCCCATTCCTTTCCAATTTCTTTTTTGTTTCCATATATTACAATGCTCTATAAAAGATTTCCAGCTTCTTCTTCTTAAAGCATTTAAACAATACAAGACTAAAAGATGTCTGGAAATATGCCTTATACAAAAATGATTCCCCCCCCTTTTTAAATCTTAAAACAACATTCAAAAAGGCACTTCATCATGGAAGAAAGAAAGTTCAGAGTCAGGTCAACTGCTCTATTAAGCAGGGTGGAGTGGGAAGGGAATGGTCTGCATAGCAGGATGGATAAGGAAGGGATCAAGTCAACTTGCTGAGACAACATCAAGCTTTTATATATATATTTGGCATGTTTTAAGAAAAAAGGGAATCCTGTAAAATGTGTCCATTTACGAAATTCGTTAAAACAGTCCCATTCAAAATATCTTCTTTTAAATTTTCATATTTTTTTTTAAAAAAGTAGTCTTTATCACCATACGGTGTCAGCATTCCCATGATTTAGTAGCATCTGTTCATGATTGTCCTTCATGTACAGCACCCGCAGAGGAAGAGCGAGAGAGCTTTCTAACTTTTGATAAGATCAGCCTCTGAGATGCTGTCAGAATGGTGCAGAGGGGCTGCAGCCCAGCAGCGACAGGGCTTGGAAGGCTACCTGTTGCAGAGTTTATGAAGCATGGTGTAGACTTCCTCTTCTTGGCTTAGTCCTTCAAAGAAAGGAAGAAGGTCTAGCAATTCCGTGTCTGTCATGTCATCAAACCAGGACTGTACAGGCACCTAGAACCGAGAGAAAAAAACTCGCCGTGAAACAAAAACATCTCTTACAAGTCTTGCTTGTCACTACAGGAAAATGGAACTGAGAAAAGGTTATTGATTGATTGATTGCATTTATACCCCGCCTATCTAGTCAATTGACTACTCTGGGCGGCTTCCAACATATGTAATAATAATATAAAATATACTAAGATTTTAAACATCATTATTGTGTTATTGTGAAACAAGGTTCCAATGCGCATCTTCTATAGCTCCGCGCTTCCAGAGGCCACATCAGGCCTGCTAAATTCCTCCAACATCTACTAGTATTGTAAGATGATGAGTAGAGCCAGGTTTCTCTACCCCTCCTCCACCTTTCATACCATGAGGTTCCATTCACAGTTCCAAGAACAGAACATTTGGTACCTTATGTACGACAACATGAGATGCTGTGCGACTGAACAGCTGCGGTCAAAATCTGAACAATCACGCAAAATGGTTTCTCAGTCTTGTGAAGAATGCCCAAGTGTGTTAAATATTAAAGACTGAACACTAGTTGTCCGGAATTGAATTAATGGCATGCCTTTATTATTATCACGTAACTAAGAGCGGCAATGTATGGTTCTTCTCTCACGGTCCTCTCCATTCTTTGGAGGGTCAAATTGGGGTTACAGGCCTGCCACTGGAACCGTGTTGACTCCTGCCACTGCCACTGTAGTCTTTACATCTACTGAATTCCCCACTGGGTGCCACCACCATAAACTCAATCTCTGTCAACACTTCCAGAGAACAAGCCTGTCTTGGCTTCCACTTCCACTTCTTCCTTCCCCTGAGCCTCCTCTTGTAACCCAAGGATTTGTTCTCAGATTTCCCCTTCATGGACATTGCTGCTTCCACCACCACCACCCCCTTGCATCATCCTTGTTCTCACTGATGACAAAGCTAAAGCCACAGGATATCTCTTTCTTTCAACAGTGGCAGGTAAGCGTACTTGTTTCAACAACCCCTCCTTGCTGTCTATTGACAAAGAGCTTTTCTTCACCTGGAATCATTTCCCTCAATCTAGGCTTGTAGCTATGAGAGTTGACTAGCCCCTTCAAAGCGTGAACTACCTCCTCATCTCGTTGGAGCAGGCTCAGAATTAAAATGCATGGAATGGTTTCCACAAAGTAAGGACTTGTTCTCTTGTCCCTTTATATCTTCCAAGCCACTTCATGCCACTCATTCCCTAAGGCTCATGTGAGGTATCATCTGTTGATCTTAACAAGGCAATAAACTCCTGGATATAAACCTCTAGACTATGCCATTTACTACATATGATTACTATTACTGGTACTTACTGCATTTTCGGGATGGAAGATGTAGGAGGCAGGAGAGTTATCCACTATAATGACTTTGCTCAACTCTCGCCCGAGACGACTTAGATCCTTCACGTAATTTCCTCTGTGGAAAACGCAGGATTCTCTGAAGAGCCGAGCCCTGAACACACCCCATCGATCCAACAAGTCTGCCACTGGGTCTGCATACTGTTATATACAGGGATATTAACACAGAAAGAGAGAGAGAGAGAGAGAGAGAGAGAGAGATAAAATAATAGAATCAAGACACCTTATCTAACATTTTCCCCTGTGAAAATGAGAAATACATACCTTTTCAATGTAGACAATGTAGGAAAGGAAAAGAACAATAAGCAAAGTTAGGTATGCTAAGGATATTGTTAGGAGGCACAATATTCCTCCCTGTGGAGCTAGCCTTTGCAAGGTAGGGAACTGACTCTCCAGTACAGTTAGCATTTCCCTCTTCAGCACTGAATATGACTGGAATGCTTGACTGTGCCGATTAAGAACTGACATAGAGAAAAACTCCCACTTGTACTACCAATTAATAATTATTTGGGATTATTTTAAAAAGGTCCCACCCAAGTCAGTTAATAAATTAAGGTATTCAGGAGTGGAAGCTGTAAATACTAGAATCTTACATATCAAACTAGTGCCAGCCAAGTCTTTTAAAATTTGCTGTTGAAAGACAGTATGTACTCCGTCCATTTCAAAAACACCAAAGTTTGATTATGAAAGAGGCTCAAATATAAAGAGATCTCCAACTCCATCCTTAATGGCACACAGTTACACAAACAGAAAATACATGTGAATTTTCCAAGAGTTCCTTCCATGAGCAGAAATGTTCACAAGCTTTCCTAAGGAAACAACATGGGGATCATGCTACCTTGCACCACAGGCTCAGTCCTTAGGACCTCCAGTTCAACGGGAAAGGTTTCTGCCCCTGGCTCTGGAAAGTCTCTACCAGTAAGAGGGAGCAAAACTGGCCTAGAGGGTCAATCTGACTCCATGCACGGCTATTCCTTCTCTGTTTCCACAAAAACGATTAAAAATGTACAATCAGAGTCATTACTTAATATATATGATGAATTAATTACTTCTGAAAGGACACATAGAGTAGCTCTCAAAGAACTCTTAAGGCTTACATAAGGGGGTCTGTCACTATAACAGCCTTGTCTAATTGTTGATAACTGGCCTACTCTCCATATCATCACAGCAATTGTTTTTAGAACATCTGATTTTCAAAAGTGCTTCAGGGAGTGACTGAGCTTTCTTGGGCTCATCCCACTAGTTTTACTGCGTCTTTGGATCCTGACCATTGACTTCAAAAGTGTATCCAAAGTTGAGGAAAAAGAAGACCTGGCCAGTTGCTGAATCAACACAAATCTTGCTCAGGCATTCTACTTTGTTTTATTTATAGGCTGCCTTTCTCCCTATGAGGGGACCCAAGGCAGCTCACAATATTAAAAAGAATAGAATTAAAAACGTAATAGGTTAAACATTTTTAAAAAATTAAACTATATGCTAATTAAAACACAATTGGATAATTAAACGCAAATAAATGTTAACTATCTTAACTTTAAAAAGGCGTTGAGGGACTCAATCATGATTCTTAAAGGTCTGCCTGAAAAGGTGGATCTTTAGCTGTTGATGGAAGGATAAAGGGGAGAGGGGGACCCAGCTTGATCTCCTGATGAAGTAAAGGTAAAGGTAAAGGTTCCCCTTGACAATTTTTGTTGTCCAGTCGTGTTCGACTCTAGGGGGCAGTACTCATCCCCGTTTCCAAGCCATAGAGCCAGCGTTTTGTCCGAAGACAATCTTCCGTGGTCACATGGCCAGTGCGACTTAGACACGGAACGCTGTTACCTTCCCACCGAGGTGGTCCCTATTGATCTACTTGCATTTGCATGCTTTCGAACCGCTAGGTTGGCGGGAGCTGGGACAAGCAACGGGAGCTCACTCCGTCGCGTGGATTCGATCTTACGACTGCTTGGTCTTCTGACCTTGCAGCACAGGCTTCTGCGGTTTAGCCCGCAGTGCCACCACGTCCTGATGAAGACTATTCCATAACTGGGGAGCTGCCAGAGAAGATCCTCTTGTCCCCATCAACTGTGCCTGCACTGTCAATGGACAATGGTCCTCTGACCCTCTTAAATGCTGACAAGGCTCACAGGGGGAGATAAGGTCCTTCAGGTAGCCTGGACCCAAGCTGTAAGAATGGGTAGCTCAAAGAATGATGGAGATGTAGGACTACAACCATTCTGCAACCAGAAATCCTTTTGTGTTCAATGTGCAGGTCTGCAAAAACATCATAAGTGCAGTCAACTGAATCCACCAAGGTATTTGTATTCTATCACACGAGGACATCCAAGAATTTAAATAGATCAATCCAAACCTATTGGGTTGAGGAGCGGATTGTCAACAGAGATGTTATAAGAAGCATGACAAATCTCTCACTCTTAAGGCCAGGATTCTTGCATAATATTGAATTTTAGGAGCAGCAATTTGACAGCTCTCCAGTTTCATAAGCGCACTTTGAGACAGGAGTTTTAAACAATTTCAGGCACATGAATTTGGTTGCTAATAAGAGAAACGGCATCAATCAGCATCTTATGACAGGTTGTTAACTGCTAGATAGCTTACTGGTTTAGGTATTTCGCTGCAGAGTCAGAGGTTGGGTGTTTGATTCCCCACTGGGCCTCCTTGATAGAAGGAGGAAACCATAGAGTCCCTTCTAGCTCTGCAGTTCTAAGATGATGATATAGGCTTTTTAAACATTACCAGGTTAAAGGAAGAATATCTAAGCTAATGTTTGTGACAAAGGAAGCCTGGGTCTTGCTACCTGGGTTTTTGCTTCAAAGCTCCTGGCTCTCTTGCTATTCTGAATTTTATGCTGAATTTGTACCGCTGAACATGTAATCACTGATACGGTTTTCAGATTAGATGGTCTGCTCTTTCTTTGGACTTGGACTTTCCTAACAAGTTGAAAAAGCACTTCAGAGGCAAGATATCTTATTAATTAATTCTGCTTGATTAGCCAAACCACAGCAAGCTACAGTATAAAACAGGCAATAAAATACATGAAACTCAGGACCACACGAAACACACAGCAACACAAATAATCCCTTCTGCTTGCATTGGAGCACTAAAAGCTTTCCCGAAGAATAAAGCATCAAACAGATCTTAAAAATGTATTTAAAACAGATACTTGGATGTGAGTTTTCACAGGCAAGAGTCTATTTCAAAAATCTGAATTCCATTAGCTTTAAAACGTCATGGAAAAACAAGTCTAATTTTGGGCTAATGTCATGTAGAACACTATTTTATTGGTCAACAGAAATCCCATCCTTGGGCACATGAAAAGGCTGGACCACAGAAGCCCTCTGCATTGTTTCAACAGGAAGGAGGGTTTGGTAAGCAGCTCAAAAAGTGACATCATTCATAAGCACTCATTGTAAAAAAATGAGAGAGAGATAGGAAGGTGGGAAAATGGAAGAAAGTTAGCAGTGTTGATTTCCCGTTCAAAATGGTGGAGGCAGTGAAGATCCTGTCCATCCCCTTCAAAAAGGAACGCTACTATTTATTTCTGGTATCTGCCTATAAACAAGCAGCAAGGATCCTAATCCTAGCCAAACATATCCGAATAAAATCTTGTTTTATGGCGAACTGAGTGGACCGTTGGTGATCATTACTGAGACAATGAATCATGAGCAAAAGCACACAGGCTTAAGCTATGACGGAGCATCCACCTACTTCATCCAACAAACCAGCCTGCCTCAGACCAGAAAAAAAGAATAGGGATAGGTTTGCAGAGCTAACATGTCATTCGTAGTCTTTACTATGCATAAGACAATGTTGTGTAACAGTTTGGGAAGCATGTCATTGGATCACAGAGAGTTCTCTTCAACTTCAAAATCGAAATGCAAAAATAGGTCATACCTTTACAGACCACTAAAAAAAAATCATCATAGTGGTCTATAAAGGTATCACACATTTTTGCATTTGGATTTAATTTGTTTGGACCATACAGCTACCCCCGTCTTCCATTCTGTTTGCTAAGAGACTTTCCCCTAATACTTCCATTTCTCAAAGGATAAGAAGCCTGACCTCCTCATTCTCCACCAAAGAAAACAATCAGATTTCATTTTTACTGTTATGTACCACGACTACAAGCACTACTGAAAACAGCACAGGACTAACACAGTTACAGCGGAGTTTACTATGTGCGCTACTATTTCTACCAAATTTCTACAAAACAGAACAGAGTGCACAAAAAATAGTTCTCCCCTCTATCTAGGCTAGAACAAACTCACAAATATAGATATAAATTCCAGCTCATTGCAAGAAATGTTTTAAAAAACTAAAAGCACAATGTGTTAAGATATGTTTTGCATTTTTTTTTAACCGACATGAAATCTCTGCTCTTAGTGGTCTAGAGCAGCATGGCTTTAAACTGGACAGAATGCATCTGTGCCCAGATCTCAAATACAACTTTATGTAATAAGATATTTATTCCCATGCTTCTCTTTACTTTGTCCCTCCCCAAATAACCATGGTAACTATAAAAAAAAGCCTTTCATATTGGCATCATGAGCAATACACGGAGGCTACATTATGAGACAAGCTCATATGTGATATTGTTACCATGGAAACACTTACCCACACACTAGCAGACAAAAGTACAGGCTGCCAGATAAAGAAGCAGAAGAAAAGGGGGAAGATTAAGATAATTATTTTGTCCTTACTTGATATTACATGCAAAGGAAATCCAACTTTTAAAGGTCTTTCAGGTAAACAGGGCATCACCTGGGAAGATTTTGAAGGGGGGGGGAGAGAGAGAGGTGGAAGGGAGAGGGAAGGCTATCCAAATTTGAAGGACGCCACCATAGTCCTGAGCTTTTTCTGGGGCCCGTTTCTGAAAGGACTCACTCCTTCATTTGACAAACAACTTGTTGAGTGGCTCTTCTGAAGCCCTGGACAGCTGTCGTTCAATACTGAAGAACAACTCTCAGCATGGAGAGAGAGAGGACACCCTTCACATTTATTATGCTACAAAGGTTTTCCAGCACTACAGAATCTTTAGGCCCTTTACATTCGCTTTAGCTAATTTGAGGAGTCTTTGACAAACAAAAATAGCAAGGCAAAAAAGAAAGGAAGAACTGCATGGCTTACCTTTGCTAGACTGGCGGTGAATAACACACATTCAAAGAGTTCTCCCATCCTCTGGAGAAACTCGTCCACATGTGGCCGTTTTAATACATAAACCTAAAAATAAGAAAGGATGCGGAAATGACAGCAGTTGAAATTCAGGAAAGACAAAATTTCCAGACAGTGCACACCTCTAATGCATGAGACTGACCCAACAGACATGTTGGGGGATTAAAAACCCAAAACTGCTCCATAATTGTGTTATCTACTGTTTCCAAATAGGTAGGATCCATGGATATGGTAAACCCAGAATGTTTTCAGGGTGGGTAATTAAAGCAGAAAACAAAGACCAGAAGGCTTCAATATTGTCCTTTGCAAAAAAATAAACTATGTCTTCAGAATGACAACAGCTAGCTTTCCCCATTACAGAAGCTATAACCAGCGAATCTTTCTTGATAACCAAAAGACAGAGGACTGAAAGACTAATTTTAAAGTGAGTTAATTTGAATAAATGAATAAACCAAAATACATTAGGAATTCAGCATTCAAAATGTCATGCTCTTAAAAAGAGCCATTTGCAAGGAAGGAAGGAAGGAAGGAAGGAAGGAAGGAAGGAAGGAACCCTGTGTTTAACTGTTCTTGAGATCATTTTACAGCAACCTCCCCACAACAGAATTAGTTATAAAGCCTGTACAAAACACAGGTGTACACCAATAAAACTACTGAATGGGCTTCACAAAAAATTTTTTAACAATGCATGTTATTTCCCTTCTTGTTTTATCTCCCTGCTATGAATGTCCATTTTATAAGTCATATTTATAGGTTGGTATATCCATGGTGGCACTTCTCACTTCCCAGGAAAGTAACTGATTAGAATGTCTTGCTAAATAAGGATCTCTATCCTTGACAGTGAATACAATCAGCACACAACTTCACCTGGAGAACATACCAATGCAAGATGACACTAACATACAATTTGGGGTAAGGGTAATAACATAAATGAGAATTCTCCACAGCTTGTTTGATTTTTCTGGCAATTGCTTTGATCAACTCTTTCGTTCCATTCCCAAGATATATATGTCCAATCAAAGATAGTCATTTCTTTTATACCAGATGATCAATTTAGAATCCACTTTAGAAAAAAAATCGAGAAACAGCAAAGCAAAAGCAAAAAAAAGCAAAGTGTGCTGCTTATATATACCACCCCATAGCGCTTCAAGCACTCTCTGCGCGGTTTACAAGTGAATTATGCAGGCTACACATTGTCCCCTCCAGCGAGCTGGGTCCTTATTTTACTGACCTCGGAAGGATAGAAGGCTGAGTTAGTCTTGAGCCGGCTACCTGGGATTGAACCCCATGTCGTGAGCACAGTTTTGGCTGTAGGACAGCAATGTAACCACTGTGCCACATCACTGCTAGATGTGCTTAGACATTTTGCTGTGTTGTCCCATGTTGTTTTTTCAGGCATGATTTTTGGTGATGTTACTAGCCTGGTATCTTCCTATGGTGGGCAGCTCCTGGCATTATTTATTCATTACCTTCATATCCTTCCAGTTTTTTAAAAAAGGCATTCAGCTGCAAGTTTCTAAAACAGTAGCACATATACCGTGGGGATAGATATATGGGAGGAATTTAGCATCATATTGAATGCCATATGGCGTTACTATTTTAATCCTTTTTCTAGAAAACTGCATGAAACCATACTTCGACAGTATTGGAGAGTTCTCCTGCGGAATGAGCCGGGGGTATTGTCTTGTGTTTAATCTTGCTCTACATCTTGGATGGAGGTGGGAAAGAAAGGACATTGACATGGACAGCAAACCACCAACATCTGGCATGCTAGTATCTCCTGCTATGGGACTCCTTGCGGTAAGAGTTGAGAGAAGACATGTGGATGAGTCTTCCAGCGTTCGGTCCACTGTGTTGTGGCTACCCCCCAGTGCAAGTAATCAAGGATAGGCCATTAAGAAGGCACACAGCCTATCCTGGATTACTTGAACCGGGTCACAGCCTCTTCTGAAATACTGGCTGAAGGAGAACTATCCTTTAGGGAGAGAATATTAACTAAACAGTCACATTATACTATGCACAGAAATCACCATTCTTTTGTGTCTCCTCCCACCACTTTTGAGAATCAAAAAATCGATATAGATCTTAGTTTGGTTTAACATATAGCCTCTGAAGGGAATGTGAGGACTATGACTGTCCAATCCACGGCACCTGCTCAAAAGCACACTGTTCTATGATTTACATTATGCCTGAGATTTCTGCACCTCCCACTTCCAACGGTCAACCTGGATTCAGGACAAAGAACGAGTTGTACATTCAAGAAAATAAAATTTTCGGATAGTCCCTGAACAGTACAATTGTAATGGCTTGTTTGGGAAACTGCAAATTTAGCAGTTCAGACATACCCTTCACATGTGAAGTCAGAACTCTGTAATACTTTGATACAGGAGTGATTCTCTAAACAAAGGAGATTTGAAATGTTTCTTAGGTATATTAAATGTAGTCACCAGTCATTTCAGGTGGTAATGCGGCTGAACCAGATGAGAAGGGGAGACTGCCAGGTTATCACAGAGCTGGAAAACCAGGTTAATAAATAGCTACAGAAGTTTGTTAGCTATTTGGAATGAAAAACAGTCTAAGAAATTTCCCCCACGTTATTGTTGATGAGCCACACTGCCTTTAGTAGAGGGTAAGACTGAATCACTAATGCCTTTTACTTGGAGTGGATTAAATGGGCTGGCATATGATTTTTAATTTTTTTAAGGGCAAGCTTCTTGTGCTTTCTGTCTCTGTAAAACAGTGTACTGAAATGAGAGACTAATCCAGGCTGGAGAAAGTTAAATAAAGATTGGTATTTGTGAGCAATAGGTGACCCAGTCTCTACTGACATGGCAGGCGTATACACAGGCTTCAGGGTAACTGTCATGCTTTGCCTCAAATAATACTGGCCATTGTAGCATGAAGGCTATGGCAATTTGCTTAGATGATCCCCACAAAAAATCCCCTACAATTCCTAGGTTCCTATGGGAGAAAGGATGTTTGTTGAGTCAGCTTACATCTACAGCACAGATAATTCTTTGAGACGTTATCCGGATTCACACAAAAATGTGCTTGAGCAATGTAGAATAATTGAAAATGAATAAACAGAGACAAAAACTATTAAGAGGATGCAAAAAGCAAACAACTGTAGTGTTGTTGATCAAAGGAGCAGAAGATTAAAATGCTCTTTAACAGGAACTGAACTCAGAAACCAGTGCCTTGTGTTAATGATCCACAGTCTGAACCCTGCCCCCTCCCACAATAAAAACCCAACTGCCACCTTGCTAATCATGGAAACGAAGGATCAAAGAACAATTTCCAGTTCATACGGGAAAAGGAAGCCCTTATGCCTTACAGCCGTCTTGGCCAACAGAGAGAGGGCACTATGATGTAGAAGGCCACCCCTAGGCCTTCCTTGACCACACACTAGGAAAAATGAAACTTTGGACTCAGGGGGATCTGTGGATTCCAAGACTAACATCAACTTTTGCAACCAAATAATTAGGCAGAGAGAGGGAAGCAGACTGAATTACAAAGTACATAATTTGCTATGGAAATCAAGAGCTGAAGGAGCTTTCTGGAAAACAGAGCAGTGGTATTTACATTCGCCAGTAAAATGAACCAGTAAACAGTGCTTCTTAAAAAAATGTATGAAGTTTTAAGTAAGCCCACATGGTGTGCGGAGAAAGAGTTTAGCTCCAATTGAAATCCAAGGAAATAAAATTATAGCAACCTTTGGTATGACTAAAAATCACATTCTTGGCCAAGATTATTTTAAGCAACACTGTTTCTTCTTTTTGAGATCAAATGCCTAACATGCTCATCACGTGTAAAAGAGATCAATTTTATTCTTATTTTCTGGAATATACTTTATGAAAGAAGTAAGCAGGAAGACTGGTATACTAAAAACAAAACAATGAATGATAACTAAATTTATTTATTTATTAAATTTATAGCCCGCCCCTCTAGACCATGTCTACTCGGGGCGGCTTATGGCTTATGGCTTCACCATAAATAATGACCGAGAGATGTGCCCATACTTGAACTTACAGGCAAGTACATCAGAAGATCTATATCTTTACCAATGAGATGACAAAGGCACACGTGCTAGAGGGCTTATTGTCCAGTATATCAATTATGAAGTTAAGATTATAGTTACATTTCTTGATGAGATCGCAACACAGTTTGCTCTTATTTGCTGAATCAACTTTTAGTCACTCACTAGGCTAGCTTTTCTTGTTCACCCCTACTACTGAATATAAATCTCATGTTACTTTGGCAACTCTTTGGTGTAGTGATATCTTCCATATTGTAGTTAACAGTTCAATCATTTCATATCTGAATTCAAGGATTTTCAGTTAAATGCTCCCTGCCCTGATACCATCTACTTTTAATCTATCAGACAGTATTATCTTGAAGACAAGATTTTATATCTACACAGATACTGCCAGCAAAATTATGTAAGAAAAAGTAATGCATAAGGGTGTATATCATCGTGAAAATGTACATTTTCAGTGATTAATAAACAAGCTGATCTTTTCTACAAATTTTTAGGCATACGTTCTTTTTTCCTCCATTCATAATATACAGTTTAGTTAAATACATTATGTTTCTACCCATACTAAATTCAGATTGTGTGGATGGTAAGATTTCTACCCACAAACAATGTATTGCAGCAATTAACAAGCACATAATTAATTCTGCACCTTGAACAGTTCAATATAACCTAAAACTCAATTCTGGAAGAGAATCTGCTTCATATCCCATAATCTCTTTCACAGTCCTTTAAACAGTCTACCAAATATTACACATTTTACAAGATGCCATCTAAAAAGATGTCAGATCTAAATCTAGTGTTTGAGACCTCTGCAAGAGATATGAAACTTCATCCTCTGTCATTGTAGTTTAACAGTCTGGGGAGGGGGGAGAGATAACTTTTTCAGATATGGAAGTATCAATCCATCCTTTTCTACAGGATATATATATTTATGTTTTACTAAGGAGCTATCTGTTCCTCCCTCCTTGACATGGCATCATTCTTTGACTGTGTATGTCCCTTTCATATGACAGGAGACCACATCTGAAGTTCTCCAATGAAAGATAAAATGGGCAAGACAAGTCTCCAGTTTAAAAATCACTTGGATCTGAAAAGTACCTCTCCACCCACACACACAAACAGAATGGCAATCACAGCAACAATGCTCACCTGATGTATAGTTCCATCAATTTCAACTGGAACAATAAAATCAGCATTGCTAATTGGCTGGAAAAATGAAAACAAGATGAGCTTTAGAAAATGGGAGATTTTGTACTAAGAGAAGCCCTCCCCTGCCATGTACTGGAGGAAAATACTGAGAGTGAAAGCACAGCTCCACAGAAATCTGCAGAATTTCATTAACAAAACTGGCACAGAAGAATCCTTTAGAACTGTTGAACAGCTGGAAAATTATTCTGTTTAAATATTTGCGCACACCCCCACAAATCTATTGCACAAACACATTTGGACCTTCAGATTTGCAAGATAGAAACAATGACTGTCAAAATGCTCTTATTCACGGTACAAGCAGATACTTTTTGTTTTACAGTGTGGTCTTTGTATTCCACCTCATATGTCTGAAGAAGTGGGTGAAGAAGGTCCATGAAAGCTTACATTAAATTGTTAAGTAAGTCTTTACGGTGCCACAATGTTTTTGTCTTTTTCCTTTATTTTTTTATTTTTATTTTTTTTCTAGCATACTACTTTTCTACTTGCAGGGTATGTCAATGTTTTTGTCTTTTTCATTTTTCTTTTGTTTCTAACATACTGTACTACTTTTCTACTTGCAGGGTATGCTTTCTTTTTCCTTCTCTTTTCTTTACATATGGGAGAATTCGTAAGTGACAGAGGTGCTGTGCATTCTACCAACTCAAGATTCAGTCCTTTTATGAACAGATCAGGTTTTTGGGTGGCATTTAGGGCATTCATTTTCTATTAATTCAAACAGCGTTGCACAACATTCTAGGTTTCACAAAATGTCCACTAAGAAATAACTCACAAGCTATAAAGAAAGCTTAATATTGTTTCATGTTTTAGTAAATAAGAATTTATAGCTATTTATCTAGATTACTGTACTTGTTTTAAAAAAAGAAACAAAGTAGCAAAGTTTTAATTTACAAGGAAAGAATTACTTAATGTCATGTCTTGTGTGCCTTTCTTCCACTGCAAGAACCCAATTATTCCACTGTAGTGGTGAATGTTGTTCTTAAGATTTCTTCACCTTTATAAAGGTAGAATCGGTCCAAAATTCCCCCTGGTCAAATAATATTTACGAGACTTCCATCTGTCTTTTCTTTGTGGTTCTTTGGACCGTTTTTAACAACTTCGCAAATGCACTAGTCACTTGCAGAAAGATTTATATGGCCCATAAAACCTTAAGATGAATATTCCTCATGGGGAAATAAACGAGTTCAAGGAACAGTGCTGCAAATAATCTTTTCTAAAAATGACATCATCCACAGGCATTTATCCTACCCTGCAGTAGCCAGTGATGTGAATTTCTATCAATGTGGCTGAAATATTCATGGCTTCTCCCAGTTATTTTATATCACATAAATCTAACTAAGGCTCCTTTCATTCCTCAGCATTGCTCAACTGTATCCCCTACAACTCAACTCAACTGTCATGCTACAATCACCTACAGAAATGTGAACACAAGTTAATGATTTCACCATTGCTGAACTATGTAATTCACTACATGAGATGCGATGACCACCAGCGAAACACAAATTGTTTAGAAAGCAAGGCTATCAAAGGCTACTAATCACAACACCTACATATACCCTTTGTCCAGAACTGGGGCCAGTGTATCTCTGAGTACCCTTATCTGGGGAACAAGAGCTGGAAAGGACTGTTGTCTTACTTGGAGGATCCCTACAGATCTCTGGTTGGCCACTGTTGGAGATGGAAATGTAGCCTGTTGAAACAAAAAAGCTCTGGAGCACCTTAAGACAAATGTGTTATATTTGGCTTAAGCTTCTGTGAACCTCTAAAGAATTGTGCTGTTGTCCATGAAAGATACTACCAAATATAATTTGTCAGTCTTTAAGGAGCTGTAAAGGCTCTTTGCTGGTTCTGTGAGAAATAGAACACTGGATTTTGTAGAACTTTGGTCTGATCCAACAGAATTCATCTTATGGTTTTATTATGCTGTTATGGAATTCATTTCAGGCCATCCAGCATTAACAATACGCATACAAGGGGCATCATGGGGCGGGGGGAGACGACAATTTTATTGTATTTATATACTTTAGACAGCCAATGCTGTCTTTCAATTTGCAAGACTTCCAAGTAAGCTAACAAATGGGAAACATAGCAGGAGCAAAATATAACAATATTAAATTATATAAGTATAAACATGGAACTGTGGGGGAAGAGAATCATTTATACCACATCGGAAGCTCGAAAGGCCTGGTCCTCTCAGATTCTATAACCAAACTTCTTTGCAGTAGGCATTCCATCATAATAGGGAAAGCCCTCTTCCAGGTCATCCCTTGCTTGATCTCAAAAGGCAGGGAACTTGGAAATTAGTCTCCAAACAGACTGTAGCGTGCATTCACGTTTACATGAGAAGCAATTATTTTAAAAGTTGACCCTGGAAGTGCAGTGGCACAGTTCTTCTATAATGTTGTTTGCCCAATAAATTATGAGTTTTGGAGCAGGCACTGGTGACAAAGTTGAAGAACGCCAACCTCTACCCTCCTCCCATATGGCCAGCTGCAGAAGAGACTTCCTGGCTTGAAAAAGCAACTTTTACACATCTCCTGAACTGGTAAAATGTGGCTAAAGCACACTCTACAAACTGAATCAGATTCCATGCAATCCTGCTCACAAAGAGAGCTTAAACCCTGTTGACATTTTGGACATCAGAGGGAAATTGTGACATATCAAATCAGGAAGAACCCTCTAAAGGTGAGTGGGCAATTGCACAATGGACTGGGAAAGAATGCTTGAGCTTGCTGCTGGTTTCCATTCCAGTAAAATGTAGTTTGTCAGAATGGAAACATAGTTATCTGAACCAAGATACCACAGGACTATATGTCTGAAATACCTACTTACCTATATATATAGTGAGATACCACAGGACTATATGTCTGAAATACCCCGCTAGACGCTTACTCTGCATGATGCTGAAATCGCTTGACGATGAAATTTTTGCGATCACTATTGCGATCACAAAACAATGGTTCCAATGGGTGGAATCCGCTTTATATTGATTAGGAGCCTGTAGCAAAACAATGGTTCCAATGGGGGGAATCCGCTTTATGTTGATTAGGAGCCTGTATTTTCCAGCTCCCTTCTCAAAATGGCTGCTTTACAGATGGAAGCTTCGCATTACAGCAATTTTTAACACTTGGCTGCTTTCCGGTTCCGCAAAACGGCTTGCCTACGCAAAACGGCTTCCCTCCCTTCTCAAAATGGCTGCTTTCCAGACGGAAGCTTCGCATTACAGCAATTTTTAACACTGATCGGTGGTTCTCTATGGGCAATCTTCGCTGGACGATGAGGTATTTCCCCCATTGGAACTCATTGACCGGTTTTCAATGCATTTCAATGGGGATTTTTTTTCTGCTTGACGACTTCGCTTAACAGTGATTTTGCTGGAACGCATTATCATTGTCAAGTGGGGCACCACTGTATGTCAACAAACAATTCGAACCTTTCCACAGTCACTGTAGGTATGAAATTTGGTGGAGAGCAGGACGTCACCACTTAAAATTAAAATATAAGAAGCACACACATGTATCTAACCATCACTGATGTTTACAGTGATTGAGAGGCACTAGAAGGGACTAAGATGATTGCTGTTGTGACATTCACTCTAAACAAAATTCTACTGATCTTTGAATAAAGAACTGAGTTTAATTAAATGAAAACTCAACTGCCCCCCCTGAAAAGTTAAGGGGATTTGAGGCTGTATGTAAACTAGCATGAAGTGCAACTGTCTCTCTTCCAAAATAGGGAGGGGTCCTAAAGCTCATTTTTGAATACTTTTTGGAGAATTCTTGAAGGACAATGTATTTTTCTTCTTTCCCTCTAGATTTGCTGCACTATGACAGTAATGCTGGCCATGGGATTTTCACCCAATGCATCAAAAGGGCATCTGGTTGGGAAAGATGGTCAATATGTCAATGTCATATTAATAACTGTATCAGTCAACAGTGAAGAATAGTGAGCAGCATACATACCTTAAAGGAACTGTGTACTAGTGTTTCATCTAGATCAATGACCACACATTTCTTCCCATAATCAGATATTGTCATTTCTGGCAAGAGGTATTTAGCTGTGGGCTAAATGGAAGGCACAGGATAACATAAGATGTTAGAAACACATCCCTACTGAAGTTGCAACAATCACACAATACAAATCATGCCCCCCAAGACATGAGAGTATACAACCAGACTACCTGCTCTAATTTTAAAAACAAACCCTTTAAGGCCAGATTTAGTCTCCGCATGAGTAAAGTCTAAGCCACAAGACAGATTGCATTCCCCTAAATTCCTCTCAGGAGCACAATTTGCATTAAGGAAAGAGAATTTACTGGTGTATTTTGCAATTCAGAGTGGGTATAGGGAAGCTGGTGTGTGTGTGTGTGTTTGGGGAACCTTGTGGATTATGGGCAACCCATAAACTGTGAAGCTTCTGTGAAATTTATACAAATTAACACTCCCAAGAGATAGAGATGCTCCCAGAAGAAGTATGAGAACCTCATATCTCATTTCTAAGAAAGAGGATATTGCTGGGAATAACCCTTCTATAACAGCACCCTTCTCTACTTTCCTCATCATCCCCATTAGCTGGGGTCAGAGGTCAACTAACAAGAATGCAAGGAAAGACAGCATCCTTTATTACATCTAACAGAAGTCTCTCTCTCTCTCTCTCTCTCTCTTAAGGTGCCTTCTCAGTTGCTGAGGCTGGCGACCATCAAGGTGGATAAAAATCAAAGATTTTTTTAAAAAAATCAGAGTGATTTAAATCATTTTTGGACTGCAACTCCCAGAAGCCTTCACCATCAGCTCTGCTGGCTGAGGTTTCTGGGAGTTGCAGTTCAAAAACACCTGAGTAACAAAGGTTAAGAACCACTGATTTAAATCATTAAAAAAATAAACATTTTAAATCATGATTTAAATAAAAATGTTTTTTAAAAAAGTTTAAATAGTCAAAGAAATCCTTTTTTATTTAAATAAAATCCACTCTGGTTACCATCACACCCTGTCTCCATCTCTTAAGGCCCAGACAGTCTCAGACATTACTCAGCAAAGAAATCCATCTTCTGCCTCTTCCATGTTCACCCTTGATCTCCCGTTCACTCATGCATTAAAAGATATTATATTTATAATGACAAATTATGTACTCACAATATGGCTGCTTGTGTTCCTTAATAAATATATCAAAGTTCCACCATAGCTTCCTACAGTGAAACAGGGACCCTCATCTGACAACCCCTTTGCCCCTACGGAAGTTGCCTCCCCAAACTTTTGGGGGTAGGTTTTGCAATACAGTTCATGGTCTTCTTTCATGCCCTCTTGGCAACCTGCCTGTGTTTTTCCAGGAGGTGGTTTGCCTTTCAACATAAGCTTTGTTCTCTGCTTGCAGTGACAATTCTTATGCTGAAAATCAAGCTATATGATAATCTAGCACAGCCAAATCCTAAATTATTATTTACTCATATAACGGAAACCATGGTTGAAATCCTGCTGCCTAGTAAGAAGGCCCAATGAAGCCATGGGGATTCGGGAAGCCAGTTCCTCCTCCGTAAGTTCCATTGATTCAAATCGGTTTACTTTAGTTGCAGGTTATTATAGTATAGTAAGTTACAACTAGAGCAGGCCCACTTGAATCAATGGAACTTATGGGGGAGTTAACTCAATTCCAGTGCAACTTATTACACTAAGCAACAAAATTACAGCCCATATATTTATTTATTCATTTATTATTTCAGTTTGCATACCGCTCCACTGTGGACACATTTTGTGTGATTTTCAACACAGGATAGGATAGGATAGGCATCCTTCAGACTATGGTAATGTACTCTGTATGGAGAACTTGGAACAGTGTCTAGTGTGGCTGAGAAGGCCAATTCGAGAGTGACAGTCCCTTCCACACTGAAGACAAATCCAATCTGTCCCCTGTCTGGCTCCCTGCTTTTGCTGCTTTTGTGTGGAACTTATGGGGGAGTTGACTCATTCCAGTGCAACTTATTACACTAAGCAACAAGATTACAGCCCATATATTTATTTATTCATTTATTATTTCAGTTTGCATACCGCTCCACTGTGGACACATTTTGTGTGATTTTCAACACATGAAAAACACATATAAATATAACACATAACGCAATAATTAATACTGTACTTAAATAGATAAAACCCTGTCTCTAGCTAAAACCTAACCTATATATGGGATAGAAAAGGAGAAATACTGCTTCCAATAAGTGTCAACCTCCAGGCTGAACGCTCAGATGTCAGGTTTTCCCATCTGTTGAGGTCTATTCCTAAGGCCTTCAGATCTCGCTTGCATATAAATATAACACATAACGCAACAATACTGTACTTAAATAATCCTGTCTCTAGCTAAAACCTAACCTATATATGGGATAGAAAAGGAGAAATACTGCTTCCAATAAGTGTCAAGATATTTACTTTATATTACCATGATAAAGTAACAACCTGACATTCAAGCGGAAAGTACGATAGTGTGTTTTCTGGCTGCTCCTTGTGTGCCTTTGTGGCATGGAAGATACAGTGGAGTGCCTAAGGTGACATCTCCAACTCCAAAAATAACAGATTGGTAATAGAGATTACAGCCCCCAAGGAAGATGTGGGTACTCCGATGGAAAAAAATCAAAGTACCTGTGCATCTCTTTGAGGCTATTTTTAAATATAGGAGGAAATGCAAGCACAGCTCCTAGTTGTAAAAGAGCAATACTGGAACCAGCTTTGACACTTAATTAGGTAAAGCAAATATAGTACAAAAACAGGTAACATAGGGAGAGTTATAAGCTGGAAACTGACTAAAAACAGATGAACAAATATTCGGATCACAGAAGACCCTTATTAAAACCAGTGTGCGTCCACACTGTAAGGAGGCAGGGAGGATCAAGTATTTGCAAAAGAACAATGGCTACAAACAGTCTTTCGTTTGGGCAGTCACCCAATGCAATAAAAACCAGGCAGCAGAATAGGACTATACAGCCAGGTAGAACACTTTTTTTTGCAGTCAGCCAATTCTATTTCAGATTGCACTAAATCATGAAGAAGCCTACATACTGAGCTAAAAACTGGGTGTTTACTATATTTGGGTACCATGTGGGCCAATTAATATTGTTTGCTGCTACAGTATACCATATTTTTCGCACCATAAGACACACTTTTTTCCCACAAAACAGGGAGGGTGGAAAGTCTGTGCGTCTTATGGAGCGAAGAAAACAGATTATATTTTCCTGTTTTCTTCTCCTAAAAAATTGGTGCATCTTATGGAAAGGTGCGTCTTATGGAGCGAAAAATACGGTATATAAGGGAAGAAGTAATGACAAGCATTTCACAACAGTCTCAAGTCCAATGGAAGAATTTTATGTGCATCTTTTGGTTCCTGTTTGTATCATTTTTTGTCCACCCCCTGACAACTACAGTTCTCTGCTTTATAAGAACACTGTCAGTATCATATTGATCAGAAGAGAACACCTCTATAGCAAGCAATATATAATTAGAATCAGCATACGAGATTGACTATCAAACAAATAGAAAATTAAGAATATTCTCCAAGAACTGAAAATAAAAGCAATAAAGATACGTACACTTGGAATGGGAATGACCTGCATCTGGTCACCCTGGTGGAGAAAGGGGGGAAAAGTTACTGTCAGAATAAGGCATTTCAAAATAGAATGGAAAAAAAAATCATATGGATTACTGAAACCATCCCAAAATAAACTTTGAAAGGCAGCTAAGAAAACAGTTAAATAAAAAGAAGATGCGGCACTCTCACAACGAAGATCTTCCATTAGTACAACAAAAACATGGACAAGAATCACAAGGTACATCTCTTCCTGGTAATCCCTACATTCTCAATGGGTAATATCTGCAAGCAGTTTTTAAAAAATAGGAGTGGTAGACGCTGATGCTGCAGAAGCGTTTAATCCACGTTGAATAATTGTCATTTAGAAATCTTAAGAAAACAAGGAAGTGAACTTCTGTCCAAAATGGATACTCAAAAGGTTCAATTGTATTTTCAGACATACGAGTGGGTTGGTTTCTCACTTTTACACTTTTCATACTCTGCCATCACCATTCATTTCTCTAGGATTGTCGCAGCAACGCTAACTTAAGATTACAAGGCTTGACAGAGGGTTGGCCATAGGCTCAACTCTGCCATCACCATTCATTTCTCTAGGTTTGTCGTAGCAACGCTAGCTTAAGATAACAAGGCTTGACAGAGGCTTGGCCTAGGCTGCCTGTGGCCCTCAGCACCACCAAACCCCAAGGAGGTCAGGGGTGGGCCATTTTGCGTGTTTTAGGCACAGGTGGGCTTTTTTCAAAGCAATAACCCAAGGAGGTCAGGGGTGGGCCATTTTGCATGTTTTAGGCACAGGTGGGCTTTTTTCAAAGCAAGAATGAGTAGTTTTTTTCCTCATTAAAAATGTTGGGGTATTAAGGTTTTTTTTTAGGGATGCTATGAGTTGGTCCTTTCAGGTCTAGAAATATATATTACCAGAAAAAGCGTAAGGGTTCTGGAACCAAAATCACCAATCAACTCTGCGCCACAGAGGCACCAGAAGGCACTCACTTGGCCTCCTTCTGGCATTGCTTCTAAGTGGGCACCAGCTGGGGTGGATAGGGCACCAAACTGTAGACCAGTTGTTTGGCTGGGAAACGAAGGATCACCTCTAATTCCGAGTACCATACTGAGGTTCTGACTACTAATCGACTACATAACAACTGCTGCTTATTAATTACATTCCAAATCAACCTATAACTCAAGAAATGTCAGTTTTGGTCTTTAGGTGCCTTTATATCCATGCCAGAAGATCCAAGTCCCTTCAACCAGAGATGTAAAATTCAGGTCAAGAGATTCAGGACTGCAACGTCAGCAGAGGAAGATAATTATGGCATCGTAAAAACCTGATGAGTTAGGCAAAGTACAAAGAGCTGAAGTCACATGGCACTGCAAAGGCCCAATTCAGATGCTGCAGTGATGAAACAAGCTGTTGCAATAAAGCGTTTCATACTGTCCTACGCTCCCTTCCCTGTTTGGATTTCTACCATTCCCCCCCCCCCAGTTTGCTGTCATGATAGACTGCTTGAATTGGGCAAACAAAGAATTCTTCCATACCGCGGTCCTATGTGTCTGCAGAGCTCAATCGTTTAGAAGAGGGACAGGTTCCTTCGGGGCGGGGGGGGGGTTGGGTGTGGATACCATCTGCAATTACAGGAGCCACATCTTTCTGTTGTAGTGCCATGAAGGAAATTAATTAAATGAGTTTGTTACCATTTAGCAAGACCATGCACTGGCCTCAAAATGTGGTATGGACCATCTCTAGCATGCTTTGCTTTAAAGTGCAAGTGCCATAGCAGAATTTCAGTGGCAGGATGGACAGTGGGTTCCCCTCCCTACCAGCAGCACACAACTAAATTCACAGTGCAAAGACAGTGGGGACCCTTAATGGGGTGCTGACTGCAAAAAAAATGACTCATCTAGGGCACATAAGTGGTTCACAGGCCCTGTGTCACCCACTCCTAGTTTACATGCAACTCCTGGCTAAGGGTGTCTGGTGTCCCAGCAGCCTATTATTACAGCAGGTCAGGAAGGAATGGATGCAATTTGCAGACGAGGAAAGGAACATCCACTTATGCAGGACAGTTAGCTGGCAGCATGACAGCAGAAACAGACCAGAAATGTTTCTTCCTTAACTTACATTTGCTGTCCAATTAGTAATGAGATTATACTCTTCAACCGCCTTAGTAGCCTGTGTACAAATCTGACTGGCTCTAACCTTCTGAAGTCCGCCATTTTCCTCAACCAATGGAGGAAGGACACTGGTGCTGTTGGGAGACGGTGGCTCAACATTGTAGTCACGAAAGCAGCAGAATAAAGTGCTAAAGATGCTTCGACTCCTCTGCTTCTTCAGACTGAGATTACATTGGGACACTGAAAAGGAAAGCAACACGAAAATCAGATGTGCAAAGGCTTTCAAGACTTTCAAAGGAACAGTTCAATATTTTCACCTACGTCAGTGGCTCACTTTAAACATGTCATAAAAAGCATTACTTTTGATTGTCTCCATGAAAAAGTTAGCATTTGGCTTTTGTATGTGCAAGCCAGCAGGGACTAGTTTCAGATGTTTTGTTCGTGTTTTTCTTGGAAAACAGTTAAGTGTCCATACAGTACAGCCATGTATTTTTGTGATAAAGAAAACACACAAAAGGACGTTTCGGAGAAGCTATGTCTCTCTCACTGACCAAAATGCTGTTGCATAATTATGTTGGCAGAATGGCAATGGTGTAACATGTTACTGTCCACTATAGCAGGGACTTGTTAATTAGTGTCAATTTGCTGCTGTCAGTTATACTACTTCCAACTGCATGAATGCACAACAGGGTTTCGGGCAGTTTGTGGATTTGTGTAGTAACTTTACACACACAAGTACCCACCACATTTTACAGTGCACAAATATACCTGACCCATTCATACTTGAACATTTACATATATAAATACACTGTGCAAAGCAGATCGTGGATTTCTTAAGCTACGTACAATAGAAATCCGGAACCACTAGCTCATCTGTGACAATGTAAGACAAAAATCTTATAACATTTTGAAGAAATCTAAAGAAACCATATCAGATTGTGAAAGGAAAGAATTGCTTATAGGTTACTATTGCATCTTCAAATATTCCAGAGATCACCAACCTGTATTTCAGTATACAATCAGAGCTCTGTGAATCAGTCTCAGGCTTTTAGATGCACTTAGCAATAGCATTCCTAAAGAAAGTTTATCCGGGTTTATAAAAAGGCTATTATGGAAAGTTTTTTTTTTACTAAAATTACTAACATAAATGTTGCCACTTGCAAAAAAGCCTCCCCTTTTTTACTTGTAGAAGGGGTAGCTGTGTTAGTTTGTGCAAGCATTATAGGTGAAAACAATTTTTAAAAAGAGTTTTTTTAAAAAAGACAAAAACATGCCACTTTAAAGACTAACTTTTGTATTTTTTTTTAATGTGAATTCAGTTGTCTGATGAAGTGGACTTGTCCACGAAAGTGCCATCACTTTTTTGTCTTTTTAAATTCTTTATTTTGTTTTGCTTTAATCTGCAACTCTTTTTTTTACTATTTCTCAATTTAAGCATCTTAACTATTTTGGCGCACTTAGAATGTTAGTTGTACTCTTCTTCTAATCATTTGCGTGAAAAACATTTAGTAATTCCCCCTATTATATCCAATGTGAAGAATTACTTTAAATATGTGATGGTGACATTTTTTAAAAAACAGTCATGTAGTAACTCTTACAAACAAATTTGAACACAGAATTGACTACCATGTGAACACTGCTGATGATGTCCACCATTAGCAGATTTTACCGGTTGGTCTCTCCTCCACCGCCCTGCCAACTCATATAAAACTATATTTGATGCCTCCTGTAATTGTAAAATTTAAACAGCAAGCACAAATATTTAAAAGGGTTAAGAATCTCAAAAGAATCCAAGTTCGTTCGGTTTGCACTGAAGGATCAAGTCTTGCCTCAGCTGAACTTTCCTTGTTCTTATTTAACAAAAGTGTACTTTTTATTTACAATGGAAAAACGTCTGGAACTCCGGCTTTTGCGCTATGCTTATAAAACTTTTTGTCTACTTCTATCCAAATAGGATGTGAGCACTATAAGCTTCTGAATGTTTTTGGCTGGAATAAACAAATGTTGATCAAAAAAGAAGCACTGCTGAGAGCTATGCAAAACCAAGGTATGTTACTAAAATCCATACCGTGTTTCCCCGAAAATATGACCGGGTCTTATATTAATTTTTGCTACAGAAAACGCAATAGGGCTAATTTTCAGGGGATGTTTTATTTTTTTCATGTACAACAATCTACATTTATTCAAATACAGTCATGTCATCTTCTGGTTGCTGTATAGTGGTGGAGGGTGGGCTTTCACTTAACTAGGGCTTATTTTTGGGGTAGGGCATCCCGCAACTCCCCCAGAAATGACTTTCCCAACCACCAGGTTGGGAAACACTGGACTATAGGATAGTTAACACCATGGTTTAGTCTATACGTGTTGTTGTTTTTTGGAGGGGGGGGTTGGCCTTCCTATTGAGTTTGAACTGAGCAAGTTAAGACACAATACAACCGAATAGTATCCCACTGCACAGCAGTGGTTGTTTAGTTGTTAAGTCGTGTCAAACTCTTCGAAACTGAACTTTTTGTTGTTGTTTATGATAGCGGTCCCTTATTGACTGAGAGGGAATCACTCTTTCAAAATAAAATTTCCTTTCCTTTCCTTGAAAGGAATTTCTTGTTCATCTTCTAACCTTGCTAGTACATACAGAAAGTGTGTGCTGCTTTTTGTTAATTGCCTTTGGGAAAACCCATTTAAAAATAAAAACAAATAGAAGAAGAAGCAGCTGTACTTTCCAAAGGGAATTTCTAGACAATCTAATAACCATGTTAGTAGATGCAGAAAGTGTGTGCTGTTACGCTGCTTGTTCTGTCTTTCCTAAGTGCTTTTATGAACTTCCTCATTAATTCTTCCATTACACCACAAAAATTGTGTTTTATAGAGACGCTGCTGCAAACTAATTGCAAAATTGCTGCTCAACAAACAACTCAGAGGTTCACGGCTGTGGAGTGTTCTCATTGCAGCTTAGTAGCATCCAGGGTAATGAGGTGTTATCAAAGCATTTCTAGAGTCCCAGCCTAAGAATCAGTTTAGAAACAAACTCTAGGATTAGTATTAGGGTAGGAAAAAAATTACACCAGAAGCAGGCTCTATAAAGTCATTAAGTGGCGTAACTACACAACCCTATACAGTGAGGATGGATTCCCTATATTAGGCCTACTGGCCAGGATAATTTCTACAGTATTTATTTTGATATTTTGTCAGGTTCCTTTTAAACCACCAATCCCAACGTGTTTTAGGATACATGATCTCTACACTCACCGTGACAGAAAAAAGGTAAAAATATAAAGAGAGAAAATTACTGATAGGTATCCTCCTTGTGACCCCTAAATTATTTTTAAAAATAAATCATCTGATACAAACCAGTTTATTATCTGGAGGCAGTTCAAAATTCTCTGTGTGTTCCATAGAGCACAGTCACAATTAACTGACTAGAGGACTTCACCCTTACTGCACAGTGACTTTCAAACACACATTTGTTTCTACAAAATACCTCTGATAAACATTTCAGTTTTAGAACCAGATGCACATAGATATTCTCACCAATCTCTGAAATTCATTTGGTATGGAGTTTCAGAGTTCTGGAGCTGCAACAGAAAACCTTGCTTGATACTATAAACAACAATCCTTTTAAAAAAAATAGTTGGAATTTCAAGGAATTTGCAACAATTATTAAATGCATATATACTTCAGTTTGTTTTTTAGAAAACAGGGAAGGTAGTGCTGGATAGTTCCGTGGCTTAGGCATCTGGTTGTGGAGCCAGAGAGTTCGATTCCTCACTGTGCCTCCTTGACAGGGGCTGGACTCGATAATCCATAAGGTCCCATTCAGTTCTGCAGTTCTAAAATGATGATGATTTAAAAGTATTTGTACCAAGTTCAGATCAGAGAATATTTTGGAAAATGCTTGCCATTATAGTTTCTCCGTGAGCAGGCATGTGTAGAATTAGAATGTAACCCCTTTTGTATTTTTGCTCTTTCCCCTGATCTTGTTACAAATAAGCCGGCTTCTATTCAAGCACCTGGATCTCGAAACACAGGTGTCAATTTGGTGCACATCCACATGTAGAAGTGATATGTGCCATAACACTTTGAAGAAGAAAAATGCTTGGCTAGAACACCTCCTGGTGCAACAAACAGTGAATGAACAACATACACAGAGCTGGCTGTTGAATCTAGTCAACATTTAGCTTCTCTAGAAGCATGTTGCTGTTATGTGCTGAGAGGGTGCCTCTGACAGATGGCAACCCTATGAACGAGTGATCAAAAAAGCTATTATTCGCCAGGCAGTAAAGCACCATAAAGGGACATGGTGGCCCTGCGGGTTAAACCGCAGAAGCCTCTGTCCTGCAATGTCAGAAGACCAAGCAGTCGTAAGATCGAATCCACACGACAGAGTGAGCTCCTGTTGCTTGTCCCAGGTCCTGCCAACCTAGCAGTTCGAAAGCATTCAGACATGAGTAGATAAATAGGTACCACCACGGTGGGAAAGTAACGGCCTTCCGTGTCTAGTCACGCTGGCCACGGAAACTGTCTACAGACAAACGCTGGCTCTATGGCTTCGAGACGGGGATGAGCAACCCGCCCTAGAGTTGGACATGACTGGACTAAATGTCAAGGGGAACCTTTACCTTACACCATAAAATCTGTCCCCCACCCCACTTAGTACATTACTTCAGAATTAGTACTTTCAAGTCATTTCAGTTTTGAGCAACTGGATTTTGAGTTCAGGTTGCATGCAACCTTCTATTTTAATCAGTGCTAAAGGACAGCTCTATACCCATATATACTGTATGTACTCTTTTTTGCTCTTCAACTCAGAACACAGTTGAAGGCATTAAGAGTGACTGGAAAGATTTTCTGTCATCCAGTTCAGTTTCTTTCCAATTCTGCTTTTCTATCAAATAGTTAACAAACTATGTAATACATTCCCAAGGTTAAAATAAATCAGCCTAGAATGAGCAAATTCAACACATGCTTCCTGTTTCCTGTTCACTAGAAGGCATGTTGATTGAAAGAAGTAAACTAGAACCAGCATTACTCTATAGTCTTAGAAAAGGTTTCAACATAATGCTTGATCTGGAATGTATTTCAATTGGAGAACAAGAGTTCATTGTTCCAAATAACTTTGACAGCCACAAAGGACATTAAGACAAGCACTGTAAAGGTGATGAAGAGGTAGCTTAAGTTGAACAGCAACGCTCTGTGGCCAAAATCCAGCAGAGAAAAATAGTACTGTATGTACGCTTCCACGA